GTCTTACCCTAACAGTAACTGAAACTACACCCTCCAGTAAAAAAACAAATTACCTTTGTGTGGATTCCAACTCACAGTGACCCTATACGACAGGGTAGAACTGCCCCTGTGGGTTTCTGAGAGTATAAATCTTTATGGGAATATAAAGCCTCATCTTTCTTCCATGGAATGGTTGGTAACCTTGCAGTTAGCAGCCCAATTTTTAGCAGCCCAATGTAGCCACTCCACCACTAGAGCTACATCCTCCAGTTAGTAGGGTCCAAAGATGTATTCCACCCTAATTCTGTAACAGAGATTGCCCTCTTAGCACAAGCACAGAGGCTAAACTCTACAACACATCATGAAATGAATGATGGCAAATGTGAATCTGGGTAGAAGGGACGCATTAAGTAATCGATTACATTTCACCTTGGAAACCCTGTATAGTCAGGATCTACTCAGTGGCAGTGGCTTTTGTTTATGTGTTGGTTGGTTGGATTATTACTCTGAGAATTCAGTGGCTGCTTGAACCTTTCCTTTTACTGATCCTTAGTTCCCCCAAAACAAAGGAGGCCACAGCTCCTGAGGTCTTAAAGGTTTGTCTTAAAACAAGCAGCTATCTCAGTGAGGTGTCAGCTAAGTTTACATGGAAGGGGCATGCCAACCTGTGTGATCCAAGGATTGAAAATAATAAAACCCAAGACCAGAGGAGGGAATTGTATTAGAGCTTAAATTCTGAGCACCAGATTTGCAGAAGACTATGGAGGACAGGGAAAGCCTAAAATCCATTTGCAGAGTCCTCGTGTAGATTAAGCCATTGATCAGGGATGTGAATAGTGCATTGGAAAGTAGACTAATGCAGATGTAGTTAGATTAAATTTTAACACCTTATCATTTTCCCCCTTTTGACCCATTTTAAATTTGTTGTAGTTTTTTAAATTGTTTTCTGTTTTCATTTGGATTGGAGTTTTTCTGTTTTATTTTGTAATTGTTGTTGAGGTTTTTAGTATAATTTTCTTTACATGAAATTCAGGGTAGGTAAATCTATAGAGATAGTAACTAATAGTTAGGGCTACGGTAGGTTAGGTTGTGGGGATGTGAGGAGCTAAAAATTATGAGTACAAGAATGAAGAGAGTGTTCTAAAATTGATTGTGGTGATTATTGCACAACTCTAATATATTTAAACCATCAAATTGTATAGTATGTGAATTATGTCAATAAAATTTTAAAAATGAAAAATAACAATAAAAACTGAAGGGGGAATAAACTAACTAGTTTCAAATGATCTGTGTTCTCCCTTTTCCCACTTCCCACCTTTGCCCTCCCTTGTTGTAAGGTGCCATAGAGTTGGTTCTAATTCATTCTGACTCTGTTAGTCTTGGTAGACTAGAGAAACAAATTCATGGACACTCATATGTGTATAAGAAAGAGTTTTATATTAGAGAGTAACCGTATATTGAGAAAGCATCCCAGCCCAGTCCAGATCAAGTCCGTAAGTCTGATATTAGCCCATATGTCTGATACCAATCTATAAAGTCCTCTTCAGACTCACACAATACATGAAATGATGCCGAATGCAGGAAGATCACAGGTCAGTAGGTGAGAAGTCTTGTGGATATAGTGGCATTGTAAGCATCTCTGCGCGGACAGGGGTCTCTAAGTGGCTTCTCTGGCTCCAGAGGTCTGGCTCCATCAGCCTCTCTCCATGTGTCTTCTCCACAGGGCTGTTTTGTAGGGAGTGAGCCAAGAGCGATTGTCTCCCGCCTCCAAGGAGGAAATACAGGAGTTCTCAGAATCCTCAGGAGAAGACCATGCCCACACAGAGGCCTTATTGGTCATATCCTGATTGACAGGCTAGACTCCACCCCTAAACTCTTAATCCTCAAACTGACACCAGATTATGTAACCACCACAATGATCCTATGTACAACACTGCCTAGTCCTCAGCCACCCTCACAAGTGTTGCCATACTTGAGCCTATTATTTTAGCCACTTTATCAATCCATCTTGTCAAAGGGAAATACCTTTTTCAACCACATAAGCAGTAACTACTAAAATTGATTTCATTGGATGAAATACATAGGAACTAAATTTACTACATTTATGTAAAGAGATGATGGAGAACCTCTATATCTTCAGTTAGAAAAAAATCCAGAGGGATGCTCTAGAACAGACTACCAATTCCTCATATAGAAGTTCAAGCTGAAGTTGCAGAAAATGAAAATAAGTCCACAAGAGCCAAATTAAGCCTTGAATATATCCCATTTGAATTTAGAGATCATCTCAGGAATAGATTTGACACATTGAACACTAATGACTGTAAATGACTAGATGAATTGAGGGTTTCTGTCAAGGGCATCATACCAGAAGAAGACAAAATTTCATTAAGATGACAAAAAAGAAAGAAAAGACCAAAATGTATGTTCATAGACTTTGGAAATTGTTCTTGAACACAAGCAAATGTAAGAAATGTAGTGAAAGAGCTGAGTAGAAGGTTTTAAAGAATAGCTCTGAGGAGAAAAAGTATTATCATCTCTTCCCGGGGACACTTGTGGTGTAATAGATTACAAATTGAGCTGCTCACCAAGAGGTCAGCAATTTGAATCCACCAGCCATTCTGAGGGACAACAATGAGGCTTTCTGCTTCCGTACAGATTTATAGACTTGGAAAACTCAAAGGGACAGCTTTACTCTGTCCCATAGTTTCACTGTGAGTTAGAATTGACTTGATGGCAATGCGTTTGATTGGTCTGAGGGGCCCTGGTCAGCTGTTTGAATCCACTAGCCATTCTGAGGGAGAAAGACAGCAGTGAATGAGAAATTCCATCCATCTCTCCCAGCCCCTCTTTCCCCCTACTTTCCAAGTTCTTTCACCCTCTGACCACCCCTTCCTCGTCTGAACTCCTGTGGTCCTCTTTTCTTTTCCAAACCCAAACCAAACTCACCGCTACTAAGTTGATTCCAACTTACAGTCACCCTATAGAGCAGAATAGAACTGCTCCTGTGGGTTTCTGAGATTGTAAATCTTTACAGGAGTAGGAAGATTCATCTGTCTCCCATGCTTTCAAACGCTGACTTTGTGGTTAGAAGTTCAACTCATAAGAGAAATGACACATAGAGGGTTTCAACTTTCCAGAATAAATAAGGAAATTTGGCGTCTCCAATGAAATTTATTTCCACCTTTAGTCACTCAACCTAGTGCTCTGAGGGGAACATGAATAAGGGAAGCAGTGAGTTCCTAAACTTCTAGAAGGAAAGAACCTTGGCAGTGTCAAGGAATGTGATTGGTTGCCACTACTACCCCAGTTGCTGGGAGTGCTGTTCTTTCTCTGGACAAATGCTCAACTCAAGAAGACTCTTTGGGTAGGGAACTTTGTTTGCCCTATTGTATTCACTACCATTGAGTAGATTCCAACTCATAGTAGCCCGCTACAGAGTTTCCAAGAGTGTAAATCTTTACAGGAGCAGACCTTGTCTTGGTAGCAATGACAGAAACTGAAGTACAGTGACTCATGAACACTTTGAGTTAAAGGGCAAGAAATAGGATTGCTGGTTCTGGAGTACAAATACAAGGCCAGTCCATATGCAACACTTGATAGGCTCATCTACTGTTCTAGAAAGTCTACTTCCTCCCTCATCCTTCTATGTCAGTATGAGAAAGGACCTTGGAAGGCTAGGAGTCTTGCCCTTCTTTATTACAGGAGGGGGATCTCAAATGGAGTTGGGGAGGGACTTCATCTTACTCACTGCAATTGAGTAGTTTTGACTAGCTCAAAACAGCTCAAAATTGACTAGCTCAAAACAGACTCTCTCTGGAGGTTTCTGAGATTTTTAACTGTTTGTGGGAATATAAAGCCATATCTTTTTCTCTCTTGGAGTGGCGGGTGGATTCAAACTGCTGATCTTGTGGTTAGCAGCCCAACACGTAACCCACTACACCACTATGGCTGCTGCTACAGGGGGTCAGAGTGAGTTAATGTCAGAGTTAGGTGTTCTGACTGCCCCTCACAATCTAAACTTTTCCATTGCCCCTTCCACTGTCCCTGCGATGTTCTAACTCATAAAGGATACCGAGACAATACCAACAGAAGTAAAAAGGAGTATGACCAGTCACTTTCAAGCTACACTTAGGTTTAAAGAGATGATTGCTACATCCTAGAACATTGCCACTCTGAGATTCTGTGTTCTTGACAAAAAAGGCGACGCCCTCAGGAAGTGGGCTAGAGGTGAATCTAAATTGGGAGGGATGATAGTCTCACCAGAAAGTGAATATTTTTATATTGGGAAAGGGTTAAAGGATCTGGGCACAGATTCCAGGCACGTAACAGCTGTGATTTGGAAGCAGGACAGTGAATATATTAAGAAAAAGATCGCAATTCTGATGAACATGAGGGCTGAGCAAGGATATATGATGAAAAACGTGCTATAGAGTCCTACAGAAGTAATGGGTGAAGGGCTGGAGGAGGTAAGACAGTTTAGCCAAGAGAAGTTTCACAGGGGTGGGGGGAGCGGCTTGTAATCCCTCTTCAGAAGTCTGAGCAGTTGTTAGAGAGACCCAAGGAAGCAGTAAGGCGGGAACAAGAGCTGAGATCCACAATCCATATAGAAAGGAGTTCAGATACAAAGAAGAACCCTTCTAAGATTCAAAGGTGTCTTGAGAAGGAACAGGGTATCTGCAAGAGCAAGGAACAGCAAACATCTGCCAGGGCGTGGCACAGGATCTAGCCCAGCGTGGGGGTGGGGCTTGATGGACCCAATGCAGAGGGCTGAGGACTGTAACGGGGTGGAGAAAGAGCAGGATGAGGCAGGGGCTGGAATGGAAGCCCTCCCTTTGGGCTGATCTTGGTCAAGCTTGGCTCCCTACGTGGCTGAAGTCGAAACGCTGGACTGGGTGGGGCGAGGCCAGAGGCCGATTAGGAGGCGGGCTCAAGGGCGGGGAGGGGTGCGGAAGCCCAGCCACATAAAGGAGTTGGCGGCGCATTGGGGCTGGCTCTTTCCTGGGTGGGGTTTGTGAAGTCCTGGCCCGTTAGCAGGAAACCAAGCAATCGCCCCGACGCTGGAGAGCCACGCAGTCTGAGTCCCGGCCGTCATCCCAAATCTTTGTGTTAATAAGTGCCCAGCACTGCCCGACAGCTCGAGCCAAACTTCGTCAACCACTATGCCCAAGACGGTGAGTGCTAAGGGTGGGCAATGCTAGCACTTTGGGTCTTGCTGGCCCCCGTGATCGCTTGCTAATGATCAGGAGTTTGGCCAGCCACCCGACAGGAGACGCAGGAACTTAAGCCAAGGTCCAGAGTGGGGAGGAGGCGGGGTGCCCTCAGGGTGAGAGGGTCTCTGCACCAGAAGTGTGGACTAAACAGGGCTGACTTCTTTCTCAGATTTCAAGTCCCTGCATCTATAATGCAGTGACAGAGAAGGTTTCTTTGGTGTTCTTGGGTCACCTCTGCCCCTGGTTGTGGCCATAGTGTAGAGTACTCTGATACTGAGAATACTAACCTCATCTCAGGAAGTGGTGCAGTGGCAAGGCTGCTGTTGTTCCAGAGAGGCCAGGATATAGCCAGGGAGGGAGCTGCTCTGAGCTGATCCTGCACCTCTGTAGGCAGCCACAGATAATTTCCCACCTGGAGTGGAGATAAGATTTGTGGAGGAACTCTTAGCGGCTGCTCTCATTTACCCAGAAGTAACTCACATACTTTACTAAGAACCAGTCTGAGGGGAGAACTACCCCACTTCTTTGGAGAGACTAGGGTTTCTCTCCTCCTCTCCAGCTAAATCCCAAGTCTTAAAACTTCCAGCTTCCTTACTTTCTATTCCCTCAGGCCTATCTTTTGAGTGCCTTAATAGACATTTTGTGAGGTGTGAATTCTCTCTTGTAAGACCACACCTTTTTAGAATTGTTGTCTCTGGAATTTGGTTTCCACCCTCCAGGCTGTTATGTGAAGAGCAAAAGCTTTCTGGGATTGGGGCCTGAGGGGCCAGGATGCCCTGGAGGGAGGGGTTGGGAATGGATGTGCCTGACTAATGAGCTCTGCTTGCTTTCATGCAAGTCTGGCCAAATGGCTACAGGGGCCTTTCTCCTGCTCAGGCAGGTCAGGCTGAGCAGGCTGGTCAGGCAGTGACCACCCTGGCTTGAGTTTCTTGGTTCTTACAGCTTGTTGGATTGGCCTAATCTATGCAGAGACTTCTTGTCCTCTTTCTAGGACAAACAAAGCCTTAAAGTAGCGGTTCTTAACCTGTGGGTCACAACCCCTTTGGGTGGTGGAACACACGTTCACAGGAGTCGCCTAAGACCATTGGAAAATACATAATTATTTCATAATATATAATTACATATTGTTTTGTGATTAACCACTATGCTTTAATTATGTTTAATTATGTTCAATTTGTAACAATGAAAATACATCCTGCATATCAAATATTTACAGTAAGATTCATAACAATAGCAAAATTGGAGTTATGAATTATCAACAAAAATAATTTTTATGGTTGGGGGGTCAGCAAAACATGAGGACCTGTATTAAAGGGTTGCGGCAGTAGGAAGGATGAGAACCACAGCCTTAAAGAGTGGGGATTAGAAGGGCTGAGGGCTCCTGAGCTGAGAAGAGAGAAGTGTGGGCACTATGCTGAGCTTTGGTTGCCATGTTGCTGTGGTGCCAACTCTTTTTCTTTTTTTTGATTTCCAGAACCCTGCCCTTCAGAAACACCAACTTTTTAGCAAGTAGGGGGGGGCTTCAAAAAGTTTGTGGAGAAAATACAATTAAAACATAATGGAATTTTTCCATAAAACTTTTGAAGCCCCTGTGTATGTGTTTTCAATATCTCTTAAATTATCAGTTTTATCACCTGAGGGTTTCCCACTCCTGCTTCCCAGTGCTCCGAAAGAATAGTTTTATTATTACTATTTTCCTTTTTACTGTGATTTGAGTAAAGGTTTACAGAGCAAATTTAGGTTTCCACTGAACAATTCATACACATTTAGTTTTATGGCATTGACTGAAGTGCTCACATATGAAGCATTCATCCCACTACCCTACTGTTCCTATTTTTTCCCTATTTCTAGCTTCTTGAGGGCAATTACTGCTCTGTTGATTTCATAGTGGTGATTGTTGTAAGGACTCCCTGATGTTACTGTTTCCCCTTATAATACTGTCTCTTGTTTTGGTGGGAAGTTGAGCTGTGGGTGGGTGGGCATTGAGTTCAGTTCCAGTCCTAAAGAATGACCAAAGGCTATCCTAGTCTTGGGCCTTCCACCAATCTGTTAGACCAGTAAATCTGTTCTTTTTTGTTGTTTTTATTTTTGTTATAAACTTTTCTACCACTCTGTCTGGGAACCGCTATATGTAGCTGTACACCATTTAGTTTTTCTGGTCTCAAGGAGGTAGAGGCTGAGGTTCCTGTGGTGCATTTGTCCTTTGGATTATTTTCATGTGTCTTTGATTTTCTTCATTCTTCTTTGCTCCTGATAGAGAGAGAGACCAATACACCTGAAAAATCTAACCAGGTTTCAGCAGTCTCAGAGAGGAACAGGGAGAGGGAGAGGGACAAGAGAGGAGGGAGGAAGAGAAAGGAGGGTGGATGGAGGAGAGAGGAAGAAGACATTTTTAGGAGACTGAGAGCAACACTAAGTTTTCCAACACAGAAGATTATAAAGATTCTTTAAGGAGCCTCTCTTTAGGTCTACCCCTCTGTGATTGACTCCATGAATCCTCTTAAGGTTTGGCTTTCCCTAAACAATTGGGTGAGTCTCTGGGAATAGTGTGCCCCATGACATCTCTTCCCTAATGGCATCTTTCATCCTTGATTCTGAGATATTCCACTCTTAAACAGAATTTGATGTGCCTAAAATTTGCCTCAAAGTTATTTTTACCATCCCATCTTAGTCCAAAATGATAAGACACAACGGTGGTAAAGAAGGCAATGTGATGATCCTTCTCATTGATAAGAAGAGAGACTGGTTCTCTCCCAAGGTATTGAAGATATCTGAATACTGAAATGCAGATAAACTGAAACATGAATCATTTTGAAGAAGAGGGCTGAGTTTTGACAGACTGGAAGCACAAAACAGAATTTTCAATACTGTTTGGTTAAAGAATGGTCAATCTTAGGTAAAACAAATCCTAACCATGAGTGTTAAGACCATAGAATCTTAGCCTGAAGAGGACTTGAGAGACTATTGACTCCTTCCTCTGATCCATGATAGGGTTCTTAAAGTCTGCTGTCTTGACCAAAGCAAATTGTCCCCTGTTTTTAGGCCTTTATTGTCCCCAGATAAAAAGAAATGGATAATTTGGATAAAAGGATCAGCTGGAATTTGGCCTCTTTGTCAGCATTGACAGTGACACAAAGTGTCTCTTGTCATTCCTCATCCCAATGTTGGATCATCCAGGGACACACCCTAGAATACCAGCTAGTAACTTTAATGAAGGAGGAAAAAATTCCCAGTTCTCCGCTCCTTCTTCACTGATTTGGGTTAGGCTATTTCTGAAGTATGACAGGTAGGGAAAAGTAGTGGAAAATCAAACCCATCCATTCATATGAACCATGTTTACAGTCTATCCAGGGTTGTCACTTTTATAGCCAATTGTCTCCCTTTTCCATGCCTGACCTCTCAAATCTGTTAGAGCATGTTCTTTCCCACCACCCTCATCCCCCAATTTGTGGACTCTCCTTTTGGTTGCTGGTTTCCTCAGTCTGCCTTAGTAGCCAGAATGCAGAAGCTTATTATTAACTGCCATCTATACTTCATGTTGATAATTAAACACTTATCAAAAAGTTTTCCCCTCTTTCTACCATCTATTTTTTTTTAAGCTCATAAAGATTTTGGCATTGTCTTGGAGTCCCTGAAAAGAGATTGTTTCAAATTTTTGAGATATTCTTTAGTTTTTGGTTTCACTCTTTAGGATTTATAGAATGTCAGAGTTGAAAAGACTCTTTACAACTATGAAGTCTAAGTCTCTCATTATATAATGGGGAAATTGGCCCATAGGTAGGAAGGGACTTGCATAGAGGCACATAGCATGCTAGTTGCAACATTATGCTTTAATATAGATCTTAGTTAAGAGGTTCAGTGTTGGTAAAACTTCAACTTGCTGGGTTTTCCGTCCTAGCTGACCTGTTAAAGGTCAGGGGAAAGGTGTCAAAGTAGTTATTTGCTGGGACCATTCATGTAAGGAAACATGGAGCCCAGCTCCTTTAGATATTTGAATGTTACGTTCAGCTAAATTTTAACAGGTGCTATGTGGACTGTTTATTCTGTCATTCCTTACATTACTTAAGTCATCCAAGTGGTACTAAAGAGACACTTAGTGAATAAGAGGAAGATTTTCATACTGTTAACACTTGAACCAGTCCTGCCTTAAACCTCCAGTATTAGACAAAAGATCGGGAATGGAAGTTGTTTGTGTAGGAGACTCTTTCTATACAGTTTCTCCACTCCTTCAGTGCTCCAGTCAGCTTGGTGACAGTATAGATGACAGAGAAAGTGCAGGAACAATCTTAGAAATATTCTTTAGATATTTCCTTGAACATACCTTTAAGGATCCCTGTTCGGATTACATGTTGGGGTGCTAACTACTAGTTCAGCAGTTTGAAACCACCAGCTGCTCCTCAGGAGAAAGATGAAGCTTTCTGCTCCCATAAAGATTTACAGCCTTGGAAATCCTAAGGGGCAGTTCTGTTGTGTCCTATATGGTTGCTGTGAGACAGAAATGGCTTGATGGCAATAAGCTTGGTTTGATTTTTGAGCACACCTCTGAGCCAAGAGGAGATGATAGGACTGGAGGGCCTGTGGTATTCTTGAAGGCATCAACCAACTACACTCTCTTATGTTAGTTAGGCTTAGAAAGGAGAAAATTGCCTAGTGAGTTCACAGCAGAGGCATTATTAGCCCTTGTTTTGCTAACTTCCATTATTCTCTAGCTACCTGTAACTAAACCAAACCGACTCATAGGACAAGGTAGAACTGCCTCTGTGAGTTTCCAAGACTGTAACTCTTTACAGGAGTAGAAAGCTCCATAATTTTCCTGTGTACCTGCTGGTGGTTTTGAACTGCAGACCTTTTTGCTAGCAGCCCAACACGTAACCACTACACCACCAATGCACCTTCTAGCTCCCTGTAACAGTTGCTTAAGAGTTCTTTTAAAAATTATTTATTTTAATATATATCATATT